ACTCTTGTGGGACACTCTTGTGGGACACTCTTGTGGGACACTCTTGTAGGACACTCTTGTGGGACACTCTTGTGGGACACTCTTGTGCGACACTCTTGTACGAAACTCTTGTGGGACACTCTTGTAGGACACTCTTGTGGGACACTCTTATAGGACACTCTTGTGGGACACTCTTGTAGGACACTCTTGTAGGACACTCTTACGGGACACTCTTGTAGGAAACTCTTGTGGGACACTCTTGTGGGACACTCTGTGGGACACTCTTGTGGGACTCTCTTGTGGGACACTCTTGTAGGATACTCTTGTGGGACAGTCTTGTAGGACACTCTTGTGGGACACTCTTGTGGGACACTCTTGTAGGACACTCTTGTGGGATACTCCTTTAAACAAGGGACACTCTTGTGAGACAATGTAGCGGGACACTGTTGGGACACTCTTGTGGGACTCTCTTCCAGCTCCCCAGATACTCCGCGTACTAAAGTTGTACTACAAGGTCGCCAGTTCTCAGCTTCCAGCTCCCCAGATACTCCGCGTACTACAGTTGCACTACAAGGTCGCCAGTTCTCAGCTTCCAGCTCCACAGATTGCTCCGCGTACTCAAGTTGTACTACAAAGTCACCAGTGCTCGCCTGCATTTCGCGCGCTCGACACGCACGATCTCCGCAGAGGGTTGCGCGGGCACCGGACAAATCGCACTCTCGCCTGCATTTCGCGCACTCGACACGCACGATCTCCGCAGAGGGTTGCGTGCGCATGGGGCAAATCGCACTCTCGCCTGCATTTCGCGCACTCGACACGCACGATCTCCGCAGAGGGTTGCGCGCGCATGGGTCAAATCGCACTCTCGCCTGCATTTCGCACACTCGACACGCACGATCTCCGCAGAGGGTTGCGCGTCAAGTCTCCAAAACGAGCGTTTCGTACGAGACTTCCTCAAAAACTCACACGTCAAAGTCTGCAAAACGAGCGTTTCTTTCGAGACTTCCTCCAAAAGTCAAGCGGAAACACCCATCGGAGCACACACATCACGCAGCCCTGCCAAGCAGTTTCGCGATTCCAGCCCCTCCAAACAACATCCGCTCACGCGCCAATCCCAATGTGACAGCGACATTCACCTCTACCACAACTCACAACCTCACGATTCCCTGCGCCTGCCACGAATCTTTCCCCATCCACACATCTAACGCGCACAAAGTACTGCGCCTGCCACGCAATGTCACCTCCCTCACACCTCGCAACCTCACGATTCCCTGTGCCTGCCACGAGAATCGCACTTCCACGCCTCAAAACCCGCACGAAGTCCTGCGCCTGCCACGAAAAGTGACAATATCATCGCATGTGAGCTTCAACAAGATTTGCACCGCACCACACGTTTGGAATGATTTCGACCCGTTCAGAGCACACTCCCATCCACCAAAATCGCCATTTCAGCTGAGACTTGTCACGAAAACCGAGCTTCGATGCCACACCCTGAAACGCAAATCCTAATGGCACGGCCACATCCAACACCCCAAAAACACGACTCTCCAAACGCTAATCCCAATGGCACTGCGCAGCAAACTGCGGATCTCACAAAACGCTGCGCCTGTGCAGCGAAATGCATCACGTTTCTTGCGCGACATGTCGGTGTCATGCAAATCACAATGGAATAGCGGCGCAAACTGACACGTGACACATCCATGAAAAGTCACTTGCAAAAGCTTCCCCCAATGGCAGCAAATTTGAGACGCGACGACGACGAGAGACGACGACAAACGACGAGAGACGACGACACGGCGCAAGCCATGCAAACACAGCTCCAACCCCCAGACCCCCAACTATAAACGGGAACCCTTCGCTACGCATTCGGGAAAACAAACAAATATAGATTGAAGAGGTGGAGCGCATACATCTAAACGTAGATTACCACACACAAAGGAAGGTAGAGTTTTGGATTCGAATGATGAGCGAGATGATGAGAGCCTGAAGTGGATATGCGGGGTGGCCTGCGGTGCAGTCACTGGTTTTGTTGAGCATACCTTCCTCTGCTTGTGTCCGGCAGAGTTTGCCTGAGAAGGGTAGATACATACATACATACATACCTACCTACCTACATACATACATACCTACATACCTACGTACCTACATACATACATAACATAACAAAACATTACGTTACATACATACATAATCATACATAATCATACATACATACATACATACATACATGCATACATACATACATACATACATGTGACCAGGAACACCACCGTTGAAGGTCTGCCGACCAAACACAGCAAGCCGCTCAATCCCTATGGCACATTCACCATGCCCAGGTCACTTGATGGTTTTGCACGAACTTCCACAGAGTTCGTGCCTGCAGTTCTCATCTGCCACAGAGGCCAGACACATCAGGAAGGGCACTACTTTGCAATCCTCATTTACAGGGACCTGATGTGGATAGCTGACGATGGGAAGGTACCCACTCACCTTCCACATCTCACGCCCAGTCTAGCCAGCCAAATCACTCAAGTCTGGGCAGTCAGTATGGACTGTTTCAAAACTCCGCAGCAAGTCCTGCATGGACTTCCCAAGCCTGAGGAACCGGATTTTGATCCTCCACTCCATCCAAGTCCAACGAAGCGAGCCAGGTATACACAGGACCACAACGTCCTTCACTTCGGCAATGTCACCCACATGGGCCGCCAGGTGATCGACTGGTACTGGACCAGAGAAAGTGGCATTTACATCCTTGTGGAAACACACTTGGACCCACAGAAACACTATGAGCTCTGTCAGTACTTCACTATCAGAGGTCGAACTGCTTTTGGGACCCCAGCAGCCACGAACCAGGACAACACTGGCACCCATGGAGGACTACTGGTGTTGGCAGACCCAGCAAGTGGACTCACGCAGTTTGAAGACTTCACCATCCAAGGCTGTGGCTTTCAAAGTTTCTTATGGCAGGCAACGGAAACAACGATCCTGGTCATTGGACTCTATCTTCGAACTGGAGAGACCCTGCAAAGTGACACAAACTCTGCCATTTTGGCAAAGTTGCTGGCACTGTTGACGCATACCACCCATCCATATGTGGTCATAGGAGACTGGCAGAACCCACCCAGTGCTCTAGCAAGTACGGTGCTTCCAGCAAAATTCCAGTTTGGGATCTTAACGCCAGATTATAGTGTCCTTTCAGGCAACACCATTGATTATGCCATTCTTCACAACACTCTGGCTGGCACCACTTCACTCCTCACGGAGTGGGCAGTTCCATGGAGACCTCATGAATGCTCTCCTCAAACTGCAATTTGACAATGAAGCAGCCAACCTGGAGCACCGCCAAATGCAGCACTTTCCACCTCTGCCCAAGGTACCGGACATCGACTTTCGGCCATGGACCACGTATCAATCCCAAGCACATGTGGTTGAGCTCTATGGCAACCCACCCAACGAGCCGGCACAGGCATGGGCAGATTGGATTTCCAAGACAGAACAGTACCTCCAAGCCTCTCATGCCTCACGCCTTTTGGGAACAATTACGAGCCAGATTTCATCTTGCACTGCAACAGCCTGACACCTGCACCAAAGGCCCCATTCGAGGCTTCATGCAGCAGATCCGCCAAGCCCACCAGCACTGGATGGGGGCTCCCACTTGGGGCCAGTTCCTGGACACGTGTCATCACTGGCACCGATACCAAAACCCGCATGCAGGTGACCTGATGCTCCAAGCCATCAACCATCAACTCCAAGAAGCTCAAACAGCTGCCAATGAGGAAACCATGCTCCAATACAAGCAATGGCTTCAAGATGGACATCACAAAGGGCTGCGAGGCCTCTTCAGGAGCTTGAAAAAGTAGTGAGCTCGCATGGGAGAGACCTTATCGCATGACACCAATGCCACGACGCATGAATCAACGACTGGCAGACTGGGGAGGACTTTGGAGCATCAGACAAGATAATGACCCATGTCCGAAACCCAGTCTACAACAGGCAGCCCAATAACAAGCACACCACCTGGACCCGATCACGCCAGGACATCTCCAAAGCGTCGTCAAGGCCCTCCCTGATCGAGCCAGTGGGCCTGATGCAGTCTCCACCCAGCTCCTCAAGAGCATACCACCACTGGCATTGACTCCCTTGTTACAGTTGTATCAAAGGATGGGGAGCACAGCTGAGTTGCCCACACTATTGCAAATGCACCTAGTGGTGATGCTTCCCAAGAATCAACGCCTGGAAAGACCAATCACCCTCACATCCACCCCGTGGAGGGTGTGGTGCCGGCTCCGCAAGCCTGTCCTGGACCAATGGCAGCAACAGCTACCTGAGTGTATGAACCATGACAAAGCACGGCCAGGAGCCAACGTCCTCCACGTTGCCCTTGAGAGATTGCTTAGACAAGAGGTCACCAAAGCCCGGCAACAACATGGCATTACTGTGCTGATGGATATGTCCACGTTCTACGTCACAATCAAGCTAGAGAAACTGCAGGAGGAAGCATCGCGGTTGAACTACCCACCGCTCCTCCTTGAGTTGGCCATGCAACTTTACAGTGGACCAAAAGCCATTCTTGCAGAACAGGAGATGATCCCATTCTTCCATGTCGACAACGGTGTCCCAGCGGGATGCCCCCAGGCGCCACTCCTGGCGAAGGCCGTCTTGGCACTGGCTTTGATCCCATGGAAGACAAACCATCCCAAGGCCTAGCTATCCAGTTGGGTTGATGATGTCGGTTTTGACCTGGCTGAAACAACACCCATCAACGTAGCACAACAAGCAGTTGAAGCCTACAGAGAGCTCCAAGTCAATCCCAAGAAGACGGCATTCATCGCCACTGACTGGGCAACAGATCAGGCACTGAAGAGTCTCCTACAAGACCATGAGCCGGTCTCTTCTGTCATGAGAGATTTGGGCATTGACCACCAGGCTGCTCGAAGAAGACGGATCCCAGTCCTACGACAGCGCTTCCAAAAGGCCAAACAGAGGAAGTTCAAGCTCAGGACGTTGAAGGTACCAGCCTTGAAGGTAAGGTTGAGATTACATAGAGGAGGCATCCAACCGGTTGCACTCTGGGGAATAGAGGCACAGGGCCTAGCACCACGGTACAGGACAGCCTTACGACAGGCCATGGCCACCCACCTTGGGCATCACGCAGGTGGCCTCCTGGATAGTACCTATGATTTGCACAGCAACAAATACATTGACCCAGCCGACCAAGTCATTTTGCACCACATCAAGGCAATGCACACCCTCTACCACAATTGGCCAAGGGATCAACTCCAGCACCTTGAGCAGGCATGGGCAGAGCTTCACACAAGCCTCCAGCAACGACAATATGCATGGTATGTGGTCAAGGGCCCTATGGCTGCCACCATTGCCTACCTGGACAAGATCAGGCACCAATCTCATGCTGGAAAGTGCCATGTCCATCCAAGAACCATGGTGGAAGCTAGAACGAGCCCTTCTGGCTGAAGCCAAAGCACAGCGAACTGCCCGTTTGGCAAACAGAGAGAACCATCAACACCTCCTTGCAGGCATCGACTGGCACACTTACAGACAGATGATACGCACCATCCCGGGTGAGGACAAACCACACCTGCGCACATGGGTACAGGGCGCCATTCACTTCAAGGAAGATGGCAAACCCAAGATGTGTCCTATCTGTCAGGTCCAGGCCACACCGAAGCACATCTTGACACAAGCCCATGCCACCAGACTGGGCAGAGCGCATCCTCTCACAGGAAGAAACTCCTCTTTGGAGTGCAGGCTGGATACCACTTGAACCTCAAGATCAGAGACAGATTCAGCACCCGTATCAGGGACATGGTACGTGGAAAGACTTGCAACCCTTAGCACCACATCAATATCAAGGGTGGGCATTTACACTAGATGCAACACCGTCCAGCTACGATCCAAGAAGTCAGCTTTGGGTTTTTGGCCTTTGTGTGCACAACATGTCCATGGGCCAACTCCAGCGGCTCGGCGCCATCACAGGCGTGCCAACCCAGCCCCACAACAAAACCAGGGCTCTGATGGAAGGCCTGGTAGCACTCGCCAAACACACCACCACGCCAGTCCGAGTCATCGTCCAACTGGTCACCGTGTGGGAAGCTTGGACCCAGCCCAAAAATAGAGGACCCTTTTTGGATCAGCTTGAACAGCTGACTCAAGCAGACTTCCAGCGAGTGACGGTACTCTATGTGTGCCGCAACACCAGAACACCGGAGGCCCCAGGCAATGAACCACAGCTGCGCCGCCGACAACGAGACGCAGCCCTGGTGGCATGGGAGAGAGCCAAAGACCTCCATGACAGCCGGCAAGAGGAGTGGCAAAAGGTGTTGGATGACGACCATAAGCTCATCTACACCCATGCAGTTGCCAGGCTGGCCAAGATCTACCAAAACAAAGAGCACTACATACACCTGAAAGCCAACCGACACCAGGGCAAGCAAACAAAACAATACAAAAAACAGCTGATTGCACAATGTACACGACCTTGGACAGCACCCCATCATCGATGGGCTCCTCACCGCAGTGGACATCAATGTGGAGTGTGTGGAACACGAGTACATCAAGCACTCATTGTTCAGGTCATTGAGAAAGACTACAACAAGAATGTCCACAACTCAGCATTGAAGAAGCCATGCCAGAGCCACCCAGCCCACATCAGCCCTTGCCCAAGAAGCTGACTCGCCAGCAAGTCATCAAGCAGTTTCTACAACAGCAGGCGGCTGAGACACCACCACCTGAGCGGCATCAACTAGAAGAAACCACCGGCTACATGAAATGTGTCCGATGTGGATGCAATGTACACAAACGCTGCAATGAGCAAACCTTCCAGACTTTTGTGGACGGTCCATGTTTGGATCGTGAGTATGTCCTACCACATGGAGGTCATGCTAGCCACGCCTTATGGCAAAAGGGACCGAAGGTGACCTGCACACACTGTGGGCTTAGTTTGCATCTCGATGGCCAAAACCGTGTCATCCTTACTGGAGCAATCCGCAAACCATGCAAAGGTGCAGCCAATGGCGGATCACCACCACTTACTGAGTACTTCCGCAGCCAACCCAGTCAGGCAGCACAGCAGGCACCACAACCTGCCACTGAGGATCCTCCACCAGTGCATGAGGCCAGCCACACGGCCACACACAAGTCCCAGGATCCAGCTGCCACACAAGCAGCCACCTGTGGAGCACGCCCTTCTTCTGAAGGTCCACATGGAAGACCCACACCCAGGAGACTCCACTTTCCTACGGAGCTTGACCAACAAGAGGAGAGACCGGCGGCAGCTCCTCTCCCAGTGGCGCAGGCTTCCACCGAACCAGAAGACTACATGACTGTGGACTGCTTCTGAAGGGGATCACACATGAGGCTAAAGGCCTAGTTGACCGCCATAAGAGCATCGTGCACACCCACTCTAGGAGAAAAAAATACATACATACATACATACATACATACATACATACATACATACATACATACATATTGGGCAGCATTCGTGACAATTTGTGGCTGCAAGCGTGCAGGAACATAGCAGGCTGACTGTTCAAAGTCCAGCCCAGCAAAAATGTGTCATTTATTTGCTTGGATTTGGGCGCACCAGTGATGATAAATGATGTACAGCAATAGCCTGGAGGCAATGCATCCCCCAAGTTTGGAAGTACGGACGTTTTCATGGACCGTTTTCTTTCACCCAATCTGTGATCGCAATGGATCCGCACCGATCACTAAGGATCAAGCCATTGATTGCGGTTTATACCCTTCAACTTTAACCTTCGCCTCACTCTTGGAAGTTGCACTGGATTTGAGCGATCAGGAGTCAGCTGAGTGCTTTTATCAGGGCCTGCTTGCAACTCCAGGCCAGTCGCCTGTGGCTTGTCGGGATAGCTGGGCCTGTGGCTGTTGATCGGCTCAAGCGGTTCCAATAAGAACTTATATGACTTGGACTGGCTTGCACTACATGAAGCAGTGCAAATGTATGTATATAGTTCATGTTTTGTTTTGTTGAAGCGTGCAGATCCAGGTGCAAGATTTTCCTTACAATATTTCATCATGGCTGGAGGTCAGGGCTGCCTGAACACTAACAATGGAAATCCCCCCCAGGCAACTTGACAGACATTCTGGTCTGGTCACAGTCGGTTGGCCGATGTGTGTGTGTGTGTGTGTGTTTTAAATAATGGTTTCGCGTATGACTGTCACCGGCTTGCTGCAAGAGCTTTCGAAACAAATCTGGGAACTGAGGAGAGTTGGGTTTTTGTGTCAGAGGATGGAGTCCAGTCGCCTTCTTCGTAGCTCATCGTGTCAGAGTGAAGAAGTCTTGACCTCTAGGTCAAATCCTTCAACATGCTTTTAGACTACGCCGCCAAGCGACGTGAAGTCGGTTTGATGGGACACTTGTCAGATCGGATGGGAAGCGTTTCCTTTGCACATTGTTGCCGATCACGTAGCATCGAGGGCAAAGAGTATTCACCTTGACGTGGCTGCTGTGTAGACATGTGGACAGGGACAGGGTAAGATCGATGCATTTCAACTGTGCTTCTCATTGGCTTGACCATTGGATGGGATATGCTTGATCAGATGCTAACTGATGCATGCTTGAGCTTAGCTGAAGCCTGCAATGAAATGTGAATAAAACGCTAGGACCACCAACCCAAACCTCGCAAGGCGTTACCCCTTCACGTATTCGTTTGTGTGCTCTCTGGGCTTTCACCAACCAAAACACTGAACCCAAACCACACTTTTCTACGATGTTTGCCATAGAAGTCCTTCAGATCTATTCTTTGCCGCCCCTCTCAATGACGCCCGCCCCATCTTTCTCTACGGAGGAGAGTGGTTTAGCAAGATGTTGGACCTCTCGGTGTCGCCCAATGCCCAAACCTTAAGCCTCCTCACTGCCACCGCGCTGCGACGGCTCCCGCAGATTCGGGTGGAGACGCTGAGAATCAGCATTTGACATCCGGGAGGTGAAAACCATGCCAAATTAATAGTTTCTTATTACTACTAGTAAGGCACTCGTTACTACTCTAGCGATGCACTTGTTCCTAGTAGCTTCTTGTTACTACTAGTAAGGCACCTGTTACTACTAGCGTGGCACTTGTTGCTAGTAGTAACAAGAAGCCATAGCAGAGGGTTGGAGCCCCCTCAGGCATGCTACATTGCTGCTACATCATGTTTCAACTACTGTGAAGTTTCAGCCCTCTCAAAGCGGGGTGGAGATAACGCGTGTTTTGTTTTTTTGATCTAATTTATGGCCTCCCATGTGGTTACCTGGTTAACCTCCAAGGCTTGTTTCCGGTTTTTAAGGCATGTGGGGCGCTCCTGCAAGTCGCTCACCACTTCCAGACGGTGGGTAGGGGCCGAGGAGTGGAAGTATAGTGTGAGCAGTCCTTCGCATCTTGGGGGACATCTCTTGTTCAACAAAAAACGCCAACCCATCACATGTCCAAGTCTGGCAAACAACCCCCCTTGAACCCCAACATCAATGTTGGTACGTATTTCCTCGCAACTTAAAACCAAAATGGTTTTTTTCCCCAGCATGGATACATGCCACAGGGGTGGAGAAGGCAAGAATGGTTCAAAAGATAGACGGCTGCTTTTTGAAGAACCCGATGACATCATGTAACATCAACAAATCAGTCAAGGTTCCAAAAATAGGAGGTTTGCACTGTGTGTGTGAATCAATGGTTTGCCATCCTGGGGTTTAGTCGCTGGGGTCGAGTGCTTTTTTCAGGACTTCCAGGCCCACGCAGCCACGCAAGGTTGTTGCTTCAAGCCAGCCGGATAAGTCTTTGGTTTAACGCCCCCTGAACATCACGTCGGAAAAACGATTTTGGCCGAAATGACATGGTTTCCAGATGTTTCCAGTTCTTCTCCAATTTGCCCTCCTACTCTCACGCATGTTCTGCGTGAGACAAGCTCCAACCTCTGGTTCATTTGCACTGGTGGAGTTCCTCAGGACTTGGTATCAGCAAGCAGTGGATGCCGGGTGCCAGCTTGGCCCAGGTGCCGAGGTGTTGCCTTGCCTCATGTCCATAAAACTCAAGCATTTCAATCAGTTGGGCCGAGGAGTGGTTGCAATGCATGATTTGCCCTATGCCTATGCGTTCCAAATTCTTGAGGCCCATGAGAACCCTTTCCACGCAAACCGGGAGAGATCTACAGCCGACCTCACACCCCTTTAACAAGAGTAACAAGAGTTCATGGATCAGCCCAACATGGAGAGCGCAAAGGAGCTTGACGGAGATTGATGCCGCAGACCCGGAATTTATTCTTGCTGGATGGAATCGTGATTCCAGCTAGGAAGCGCACAACATGCCTTCTTAACTCACCACATCCATCCACATCCTAAATAACATAAAAGTAAGTGATACAGAATTGTCATCACCAGGAAGCCAAAACCTATCAAAACTGTCCACACCTCTCCACCTGATGGTTCCTCAGAGGTGCCTTTAAAGAGCTCTTGGATGCGGCTCTGAAACGCAACGACGTTCGCGCTGCTGCCTTTTGGTACAACAAGTCGTTGGCTGATGGCAGTAGCTGGCCTACGGAGGCGCATCCTTTTGAGAACACTTTGGTCAGCGACCAACCTTCGTCGGACATTTGGGACACTTTTGGCCTCCCGTGGAAGCAGTGCACTGATGGACTTGCAGGCAGCTTGGGCTCAGGACAAGGAACACAACGCTCCGAGAGATTTTAAGGCTTGGTCGGCTGACCCCCCGCAGGTGTTCAATCAATTGCTGTCCAGGGCTGCACAATTGGAAGGTGCCTTTGCTGAACTGTTGCTGCACCTTTCTCGTCACGGGCAGATGCAACCGGATGTAGCACCTCAGAGTCCGCGGCTTACCTCACTCATGAGCTGTGTTGATCCCAGAACGGTCTTGAATAGTTTTTTGGGATGATTTGCTTGCGCAGCACGCTGCTCCAGCACTGTACGGGGCTGGAGTACTTTGAGGTTGCTTTTGCATTGACTTTGCTGGCTAGTGTGCTAAGAGAGGAGCTGGTGTTTTTTCAGGCTGCTTCATGTCGTAGGCTGCCATAGGTATTTGAATTCTGGACTCTGGAGATCTCTGGGCATTTGTTGCCAACCAGGTGAAAGAGTGAAACACTGCCGAAGGATGCCGAACATCCAATGGTTTCATCTCGGTTGTCTGCCGAATGCACCGATGTGATTTCATGTTGTTTTCCCAGCTTTTTCACACTTCAATCCTTATCCCCCGCGTTCGGGTTTCCCAACAGTCATGCAAGGTGATGCCATGTCATGCGGATCTGGCCGGCTACGAGTCAGTGAAAACATCACCTCATCTCAGGTTGGAACAAGAGCAAAGCAGGTTGGGGCAAACATGGGGAACCCGAGCTGTTGGTGTCGGGAAAGGTTTTCCCACCATCCAAGTCAAGAGGAATTCCTGCACCTGCATGGTGATTGCAAACAACCTTGTAAAATTACAAGCTTTCCCCATCTTTAGATGGCTCTCAGGCTTTCCTTCTTCTGTGTTGGGCCGCTGGCCGCGGTTCCGCTGTGCTCTCTGAGGATATTCCTTCGCGGCCCGGCTTTTTGCGGACTTGGGCGATGGGCTGACACCCACTGTGGAGACCTTTAATTCCATGTGTCTCGGCGGGAGAAAACGGGGTTCGCTACATGGTGTTGCCGTCCAGCTCCCTGTTGGGCTGACACTGTGGGTGGAGACCCAAATCTTGAAGAGTCTTGCTTTGTTTGTTGCAATATTTGGGCATCACTGCTTGTCGTGGTGGTGGTGGTGGTGGTGGTGGTGGTGGTGGTGGTGGTGGTGGTGGTGGTGGTGGTGGTGGTGGTATGCCTTGTGTTTTGCTTTTAGTGTTGTCCCTATGGTTCTTGGTTCCCGTCTCATCCCATATCCATTTCTGCAGCTGCATGGGTGCTGCAAGTCTTGGTTTGGGTGCCACTGTGTTGGCTTTGCCATGCTTTCTCTTACATGTTCACGCTACGTACGCTCACAAGACGAGGATGTTGGCAGCGGCCAAGAAAGGTGACGCAGCAGCGGCAGAGATATGGTATGCAAGGGCGCAAAGTGCAGGTTGCATACCTGATCAGGCAGAGTTGTTTCCACCGAAGCGCGACAATGTTGTTTGGCACTTGCTTTTCCGGCATTCCGCATTCCAGTATATACTTTTCTACAATGCTCGCTCAATTGTTTGCTTCGCTGGAATGCTGTAGTATATATATATATATTTTTGTGTGTGTGCGCGATACTGGGCAGGTCACCTACCAAGCTCTCATCAATGCAGCTTCCAAGCTCCTGGGCGAAAACGTCCATGGCCCATCGTGAAGATTGGAACAGTTACAGGCATGTGTTATAATGCGTCATGGGTCATACATAAGAATGCTTTTGACTCTTCACGGTATTCACTTTGGGAACCTGAACATGAAGGAATTTGGAGCTGTGGGAGTCTACATACGTTTAGACAGAGTCCCTCAACAGAGGTCACCTTCATTGCTGGTTGTGTTTTGTCGGGAGCACGCTTCGGTGTCATCACCCGATCTCCCGAATCCAGGCAAAAAGAAACCAAAGACCGACCTGGTCGGCCCGAGGAATGGCGATTTGGCAGCAGCTGAGCGATGGCTAAGGCCTGGACAGCTGCGAGTCATTGGCGCAGGTCTTGCGGGCTCATGAGCGGATCCACACGCCAGGGAGCTTAACATCCTTGGCATTGGACCAGGAACAAGCCTTTCAATTCCCCCGCACGCTACACGTCAGCGGAAATCTGATCTCCTTCGCGATCTTTGTGGGGGAGAGATGGTGATGATGTTTGATTATAACAATGTTGCGCCTACAACGAAACTGCAACTAAGCCATACTGAACAACAGCAGGGATTCCAACGTGGTGGCTATTGGAGGCTGTAGGGTGCCCACCATCCCCTCAGGCGTTGGGTTGAAAAGCCACCCTGCTCCTGGATTGGCATGATGTTGGTTGCATCCTGCCATGCTCAGTCTGCTTGAGTCACCCAAACTCTCCGTCCCAGGCAGGCAACAGATGCCCAGCTGGCGCCCACCTTGACCATGCTGAACTCGCTGATGGCGGCGGCCGCACGGGAGGGGGACGTCCAACTGGCAATCCGCCACTTAGAACTACCTGAGATGTCCGGTCAAAGAGTGCAATAGGGCCTTTCTCCCATGCAGAACACCAGCTCGTTCCATTGATCTGTTCATGGGGTTTTGGGCACCAACCAGAAGATGTATACCGGTGGAGGAACAGATATGAGGAGGTCATCAAGTGCCTTGATTTGTCACGAAGAAACATTCACATACGCCCATGTCAGGAGGGTTTAGAATATTGCACACAATTTGCCGTGGGAGATATGTCAGTTTCAGGGGGTTACTCCTGTAGAAAGTCCTAAGCCGTCGTTTGGTTCTGAAACCAGCTGCCACACGTATTTTTGCCAGCATGAGCCGGTCATTGTTCTCCGAGGCTGGTTTCAGCGAATGGAAGGGCTGGGCCTGAAGCCGGATGTGCCACACTCGGTGAGTCTGTGTCCGATGTCCATGCCTTATCCTCAAAAGCTCCCAATTGAAGCTTCCAACAAATTCAGTGAGTGGCCCTAGTAGTAGCGACCTTATGGAGTGCGACCTCGCTGTATGTGTGGCATTTTGTTGCATTTTTCCCTCAGGTGGTCTCCTACACCACCATCATCAGTGCAGCTGCCAAGACTGGCAACTTGTCCCTGGCAGAGACCTGGTTCGAGGTGAGAGGATCTTATTGCTTTCCCTGGAACAATCGTGCCAAATCGTGAGATTGTGGCCTGCTTTCAATTTGGACGGTTGATTGGGCAGGTTGGCACTGGATGATGCATTTAAGCCACACGTTTTCACTTAAAGCTCTTGCAACGCTTGCATACTAAAACCTCACCGCCAGGCTGCCTTGACAAATGGGATTACGCCGAACGTGGTCACGTGCCCTGCCTGAACGACGCCCAAGCCAACGAGCAAGAGTCCAAAAGCAGCACATCACCTGTGCTGGTAAGCGCGACTAGTCACTAGCACGACATACGATCGGTTGTCTGGGGGTGACAAATAATGACCTATAATGTCCTGCATGTTCTCACACAATCAATCCAAGACCAAACCCAAGATCAACTGCGAGTTGGGTCAAAGATGTTGTCAGTGCCTCCAGCTTCACTACGTCCAGGTTCACCTCTTTGATCGACGCTGCTGTGCGTACTGACGATGAGGAGGCAGCCAGGCATTGGCAGCCCGGTGAGGAAGAACTCTGATGTGTGGCTTCTGGATGGCGGTGGTGAGGGTGATCATGGGAATGCACGTGAGCCAGTGACCGGGGTGGCAATTTAAGACAAACGCTCTAGCTGCCAACGAAGCAACATGTGACCAGAATATGAATTGATTGAAACCCCAAACTGATCACAATTGCCACCATCAACTACTAAATTCTAAATGATTTTTATATCTTCATGCCGCCAGTAGACAGGTTTGAAGTTTGGTTGGGCTCAGCTTCAGTGTTTGATGGTCTATGGGGATGATCAAGGATAACATGCGGACCAGAGCTCTAGTAGAATCCATCTTCGCGGAGCTGGGTGGGTATGAAACAGTATGAAGGTCGGTGTTGGGCAGAATGCCTGAAGCTCACGACGCAGATCTCACCAGGACTGTCACTCATGCGATGCCGAACTGAGGTATGAATCTGCCCTCGAGGCTGGCGTGCGGCCATCCATACGTCCCTTGGGCAGATGACTCATGAAGGTCCATGCTTCTTTCGGACGGTTTTGAAAGCACTCACCGATGCTTTGTAAGATGTTGGTTTGGAGGTTTGGACCTTGGATGTTGGGTGAGCATGTCAGCTGAGGAACTTTCAACACTTTGATGAGTGGGCCGGCCAGGCACTTCCTTGATGTTGACAGAGCCGTTTCATAGCCGTTTGATCACGACCGGTTTTCAATATGCGGACTAGTCTTAGAGATCTCAATCTAAACACATTTTTTCCATGCTTGTGAGACCTGCTGCTTTAACTGTTCTTTGACTCCAGCAATCTCAAGTGTCATGTGGAGTGGCGGATCACCCCAAGCTGGTTTTCAAAACAGATCCAACGAGCATCAAGCAAAACCATGCACAGGGTGGAACATGTGCAGACAGTGCTGAGCACACAGTTAGTGTCTTGTAATATATAGTTGTCTATAGTCTTTTTTGGACACCTACAGCTGTGGTATGCATCGGCCCAAGCCTTAGGCGTCCTTTGGCGCACTTGACCCAATCCCTCAACACTTTGTTCCTGGTGGTTTTTGTGCACAGGAAGGGGGACCTCGCGTCGACAGAGAAGTGGTTTCGAACCGCCAGCTGCTTGCCGGGACTCGGGTGTGCAAAAACCGCAGGCCCACCACCTGCTCGGAAGGGTCGGAAGGGTGTTTCGGTTGAGGCTCCTCATGGCGCCTCCCACTTCAGGTGTCCACCATTGAAAGATGAAGCATCAGCACCAGGAATCAGGGCCTTTGACCTGCCCTTCTAGCAGCGATGACAATTCCTTTTGCCCACTCTGACTCTCTTGCGAGCGAGTACGTAGAATGTGCAGTTGCCCGCTTCGCCTTGCTGGGAATCCGTATACTTACTGATGTAATTGTCAACCACATCAGTCCCGTGTGCCATTTTGGCGACACTGCAGTGGTTGTGGCTACAAATTGGTTCATTTGTATGTTTCGGTGCAAGACAAAGCGAGGCTTCAGCGGCACCAAGCCAGACCGGGTGACCTACAACACGCTGCTTGGGACGCGTCCACCGCGAAACGGACGATGGGCAAGTCAAAGGTTTGGTGGCATTGGCGAGGTTTGTTTGTTGATGGGATAAGCAGGAAGAGAGGTTCGATGGGTTGTCACGATGTCACGTTTGGAAGATATTGGAAGAGTTTTAAGATGTTACAAGCATGCAGCTTGCAAGAACACTGCTATGCTGCGTCCACAACTTGTTCAACTGGAGTTTGGTGTGTGCATGTTTGTACTGTTTCTGTGGCACTTCTTGTGGGCCCCCAGACACTGAAGAGAAGCTTGGGGGCTGACCATTCACACTTCTTAACACGAGTTCTTATCTACGGCTCTTCCAGTCCAAGCTTGGCCATGGCGTTCGCAATGCTGGTAGTGACTCACAACTTATATCGTCGCTGAGTCCCTGGACCCTCACTTGGGCCTACGTAAAATCGTCTCCAATCATCTTCTCATTGGGTCGGTGGCCGTGGACCCCTGGCCAATCCAAGTGGGGTGGGTTAGTGACCTTGGGCTCTCGCCGCCCAGGTTGATGAACGCCGCGGCTCGTGCAGGTGATTTGGCTTCAGCTGAGGAGTGGTTCAGGAGCGCCGCCCAACTGCAGCTGGATCATTGACTAGAGACAAACATCATTTCATTTCATTTCATGTTGTTAACAGATCCCTCAGGGAGCTACAAACGGATCCAATACATCAAGAACGATTGCATAGAGCCTTGCTAATGGCCTTGCGCATCGCGTCAGGGGATCCGATTGCTTGCAGCAGCCCTTTGTTCCAGTAGCTTGTTGTTCATAGTAGTAAGGTCAGGAGCCCCTAGTAGCGTTCTTGCTCCTAGTAGCCCTTTGTTCCTAGTAGTTTATTGTTCCTAGTAGAGGAACTCCGAGGAACCTCAAATTGTTGACCAGCCTTCCTTGTATGCAGTGCCAACCAAGATTTCAACCAGCAATCCAGTGGAAAAGCTTATATGAGAGTGGTCCTTCGTTTAGATTTTAAACTGGTCCATAGAGTTGTATATATATAGTCATATATAGTTCCTGATGAAAAATCGGACTCCGGATGCTTGAATAATTGGCAGGCTTGTAGATTTACAGTAGACTCTGCACTAGGCAGAGGTGGGACAACATGCTAATTTCTATCCAGTTTGCGACAGGAGACTCAATCCAAGGAATCTCTAGTCACACTAAGCGCCCTCACCCAGGTTTTTGTGCTTCTTGTCTTACCCTTTCGTTGCCACTTCAAGACTTAGGCCCATCCGTCAAGTCGTTGCTTTGGATCATTTTGGATCATCCGTCAAACCCAAGTCCATTCGGGTCCTTCTTCCGAGCTCCCAGTGCACCTTCGTGATCCCGCTGGAATTAGGCGGTGGCGGCGCGCGTGGCTCCCAACGTCGTAAGCTTTACCACCTTGATCTCTGCAGCCGCCGACCTGAACTGCATAGGCGAGGCGGAGGCACTGTGGGAGTTGCATATGCCTCGCGGTGTCATTCGAGCACATGGAAGGTGAGATGGACGGATTTGGCAGACTAATTATAGTGACCACAGTGACTAGGTGTATATATTGTGTGGGCCTGAGCTGGGTTCCAAAAGAGAGAGACCGCAGATGCGGTGACGTATTGACTATAATATTCTTGATGGTGCCAAATTTGGGATTGCAACGGAGTGGTGTGCATCAAGTAATTCAAAGTTTGCTTCCAGTGATTCATATATATGCAAGTGGCACTTGAAGCAGCGGACTACAAGAATAGACAGGTCTTGAAAGGGCAGGTCTTGAAAGGGGTATCACACATGCTATCACTGTCGCAGGATCCCGTGAGGCGATGCAACAGTTCTGACTTATACAGACAGTTCTTCTCTCAGACTTATACATGATTGCCGCATTTCTGACACGCTGAGGTTCCAGATCTCCAAAGTTCTCGTGTTCTTTTTGTCGGTGTTTTGGGACGGCACCTGGCTGAGCCTCTCACGAGGTGCGCGCGCATTATGCGTATTCTATGTCTATGTAACCTGGCCAGGCCTGGTTTCAGAGAGCTGCTGACGCCGGGATCCGGCCCAACGTGGTGCCTGGGCTCTCAATGTGGTTTTCAGATGTGTTGAGATGTTTTCAGTATATATGTTTTTTTTGAAGCAAGACTGCGACCTGTGGAGACTTGAGAAACCCCAAAATTCATGTAGGCAGATGGACAGGAATCATGCCAGCCTTGCCAGCCAGTCCGAAGTGGTATACCATGGTTTACCCTATTTTTATACGTGTCACTTACCTCAAGTCTCTATATTGAGAACGTTTCAGACACCGAAAAAAAAGCACAAGAAACACATCTGAAAGGGCGACTCCATATCTGAAAGGACACCGTCGCTCACCGGTCTTCCAACCGGACCCGGTGAGGCCATGTACAATGCTATGCTGAGCGCCGCGGCCAAGGATGCACCTTCCTCTGCGGAGAAGTGGTTCCAGCAGATGGACGGGCGAATCAATCGAACAATGACCATGTGATGGAATCACGAAATATGGATTCGTAGGGAAAAATTAGTGGTTCTGGCATATTCACTCCATGTGTGCTTGTTTTTTGTCGCTGACGAATCTATATGGTGGACTCCAAGTTTTCCTGCGTTGAGATGTCGACAAGTGGACGAATGTGATGTTTCATTTTGTATGATTTGCGGAGGCCGGGGCTGGGCATGAGGAGTGAGAATGTTGGCTCCGGTGTTTAAGATTTATATATTAATATATAGCTTCCCCATGCTCGGTGAGGTTGGTTTCACCAACAAACAAATCAGGACCGCATGACAATGTGGTTTCAATATAATTATCAACATTCATGTATACGATTATACTCATGCTGCATGAAGGTCCCTCAGCTTTCTTCTCGTGTCCAAAGCTCACAGAAATCCAATCTTGTTCCACCTTGACGCCAGCTTCACTTTTGGCCGCTCCAAGTGCTCACTCGAGGCTATGGGTAACCATGCCGCAGTAGTTTCCATCCATTCGGCGTTTGTGACGGCTGTGATGTGCGCATAGTGAGATAAATCACCTAGGCCCCTATGCTGCCATTCAAACGACCTTCTCACAGAGAAAACCAGGATCACTATGAACAAACCGAAAACATCCGAAGACTTGTGAGCCTCATGTCATCATCCGCACTCCTGGAAGCGAGCACAACTCCCCATCCAGTGACGCCAGATCGTTAGGAGAAGGATGGCGTCCTTGCGGATGCCTGGAGCTTCAGCATCTTAATGGATGCCTCGGCTAAGCAGGGGGATTTGGAGCAAGCAGATGTTTGGCTTCAACAGGCTGAACGTGCAGGCGGAAGTTTTGAAGCGATGTTGGCCTTGGTGTTCGGGTGGGGTTGGGAATGGTACCGTTTGAGGTAGTCGAACTTGTAGGATCACCAAGTCAAAGGTCACGTCTCTTTGAGTTGATTTGTTTTTGCCATGCAAAACTGCAAAACTGATTCACCTGATCACCTGATGTCATTACTCCGGTCGCTCAATGTTGGGATTCAATGGAGGTTGACCATTGCGCAGGAGAACCAGAAGATACTTATTTATAACTTGTTCCTAGTAGCTTCTTCTAGTAAGGCACTTGTTACTACTAGCGATGCACTTGTTCTTAGTAGCGAACATTGTTACTATATTTATATACTTGTACCAGAAGAAACACAGGACACAGGTCTTTTCTCCTTATCGCAGTGACTTGGAAGGGTGTTGACCTGTCGGTGGTAACTATATGGTAGTCGAGCGAAAGGTCGACATAAGGCCTAGGTCACTGAGAGCCTCTTCAAGTTGTTCGCGAAGGTATTTGTTTATTCACGACAGATCTGCAAAAGAGTTATCTATATACTCTATGTTAGAACTATATATATATATTATTCATACTTCCTTCACTCAGGAGGAGCCTTGATTCCTGACTTTCGATGCAGTCTTTAGGCTTCTAGCTCACTCACATTGGTGATTTGGCTTGGCCATGGCTCCTAGCCATTCACAAGCCTTTACATTGCACATTATATATATTTCACACTTGCGATGCACAATCCCTAGGCAGTATAGGCCTCGAAACCCACCAATGACGCGACATTTGTTGGAATAAGATTCGTGAAAGTTCCCTTAAAGCATAGACCAATGTGAAGGCCTGTTTTGTGGACCCTGCCCAAGCCAAGCAGCGAAAGACCTAGCAAGACATGAGCATAACAACACTTGATAGCGTGCAATTCCAAGAAGCAAACAGATGGAAGTGGTTAGGCTGCTATGATCTCCTATGTAGAACCACCGAGCCAAGAAGATTTCTGATGTTTCTGGAGGATATACCTGATATACCCCCCGCAAAAGTTAAACATGGAGTTCGCGAAAGATTTGCGAAAGTGCAGTACTTTTTGCGAAGAATTGCCTTTCAGCAAGAAGGATTTTGATCAACCACAATATAAACAGAGGGTTTGCGTTATGTTTTCCACGTTTGGTTTTTTACCCAAGACCTGTAAGACTAGGGATGGACATTCTGCTAGATGTTTAGGGCTGGAAATCATGGAGACACGTGGAACATGACGGATCATGTTGATTCACTTGCATCGTCGCAATTGACGACCTTTGATTTCTGAGACTGCTTGTATCTCCAAACCAGTCGAGCCCGGTGACTTTCCTTTCAGCGATCTGACACGGAATCCATCACTCCATGGACGTCCTGCCACCGCAAAAGCGACGCGAAAGCGACGGGCAGTGGCTTGTGTGGCCTGCGGCAGGTCAGAAGCACGATGCTGTAACCTTCCGAACCTTGCTCAACGCTGCTGCCAAGCAAGGCAGCATGTGGGCCCAGCAAATCCTGAGGATGTTGTGACTGTAGTCTAGAGTCTAGGTGGACTAGTCTATGCCCCGAGGTGGTGTAATTAAGATCAGTGTGGTTGGAAAGGCTTTTGGGGAAGAACACTCGCATCCAACATCGTCCAACAAAGCCTAAAGGACCAGCCCTTCGCAGTTGATCCACTGCTTCATAATACAATCACCATGATCATGGGAGAGATAAGAACAAGTTGCATGGATGAGGGGCACACGTGTTCCAATAAGCATCCTGTGCTGACCCTGCAGGCGACATGGAGGCTGCTGAAAAGTGGTATTCCAAGGCTGTGAAGCTCAATCGCCAGCTTGACACCAACACGTGACTCTTTTTGAAAGGCTCCAGGCTCTACGTTCACCCCCACCCCGCACAAACAGTCGCACAAACATATCAAATATATTTGGCGTTATTTGTCGTTTTTTCTCAATAAGTTTATATAACGTCTTTTTCTCGGTAGTTTTGTTTCATCCATGTCGCGCGGATAAACCAATCCAAGGTTCAATAGCTTGCTGCAAGCTGCCATTAGATGCAGTGGCATCGGCGAGATCCGCCGCTGGTATGATCGACTCCTACAAGTTGCTTGGATTTGCTTGGGCAAAAAACCGTCCCGAACTGCCTGGCAGAGTCCAGTTTTCAGGTTCCCTTGTATTGTTACCCCCTGCATTCTGCATCAAAGACCGGTGATCGTGCAGCTGTTTCATCATTGCCCTGTGCAGCTGCTTTGAGTGCTTCTTCACTGATGCTCAGCTGACAATGGAACCCCTAAAAGACTAGAAATATATAATATGATATTATTGACAATTAATTAATATATATGCCAATACATTATTGACATATGTAGGCATTTGCTTGTTACATTGTTTCCGTGCCAAGAAGAGTCACAGCATACAAAGGAAAGGTAATAGCAGAGACTGGAAGCAGATGTTGCTCGATGTTGTTCGACATCCTTGCGCTGCCACAGCTCACGCAGACCTGCAAGATCTGTCAAGATCTGGGGAAGAAGAATCCTTAAGCCTTAAGTACTGATTGTCAGAAATGATTTCAGGGGCGTGATGCTTTTTGGGCAGCACAGTTGGCAACTTGCAGTTTCTCGCTTCATTTGCACACAGAATTGCACACAAATATAAGTGCATGACATTATGCATGGCATAGTTTTGCATCTGCTGCCATCAAGCAACTTGTGTCCTTTGGCTATCTTCCATTTGATTGTCTTCGGTCTCCCATCGCTTTGTGCTAAGGCAGGCTGTGCGCCAGACGAGCAGACCTTCAGTATCTCCGTTTTCTCGGCCGCACGCGCACGGAACTTCAGCATGATGGGCGAGTGGCTCAGGGAGGCGCGACCGATAACCCATGGGTGCGGGAAACGCGGGGTGGCAACGGTGAGAAGAAATAGGCATGTGGCTAAAGTAGTGTTTGAGTTGCAGTTTCTTTCTACAGTGGCACAGGGAGGTATTCAATGGAGGCACGAAGGTGGTCTCGTACTCATCAATAGTATGCCCGTGATTCGCATTATTTGCTTGCACAGAGGGTTGAGGTCAGATCCTGGTTTTGTCCTGCAAGTGTTCTGTCAATCCTCAATTCAGAATCATTCTGTTGCGCTACGTGGCGCATCACCATGTAGAGGTGTTCGACGGCTTGGACCAACAGAGATCAAACAAGAGATAACCGCCAAGACATCTTGGTTTGATCCAATGCGTGTCATGCTTTTTCCAACACACGGATCCCAAGACACTACTTATTGGGAAGCCAGAGTGGTCTCCATTGAAACGGCCTTAAGCGTGCAGTACCCAGGGCGCTTTAGACGCCAGATCTTGCAACTCCCCATCGCCCAGGCAGCTAGTCAAGGCTTTGAGCCTGAGCAGATTGCACGCAGCGTCATGGCCAAGGAGGCCTGGCACGCTTCGAAGTCCGATGGGTCGCATCCATGGTGACACTCGGCGTCAACACTTCTGGCGGAAAGAGAGCACTCCGGTCTCAAATTCTCCCAGCGAGGTGATGTGAAGCGATGCTCCAGAACTGAAGGTCGAGTCTTTGGAGGGTTTGTAGTGCTTTTGACCAAGCAATTATGATCCAAAATGGCCCACCGGGCCACGATCCCAAAGGTGGTGCTGCTTTGTGATTTTGTTGAATCTTCCTTTCTTGAGGCCTTTCCAGGGTGTGAGCCACAAGCTGCAACGTTGCATCGTATTGTGTCAACATGTTGAGCGAACACCGGCAGCTGATCACTGTTTTCTTCACAGCTGGAATTCATTGAATCCCTTATAGCCCCGTTGAGTCTTTGTTGTCTCCACGGGACAATCCTCCAGCCTTGGAAGTGCTTTTTTTCTCAGCAGTTGATGGAAGCAGGGACCCCTTTCATGGAAAAGGGACAAGCAGGTGACAATGATGAATAATCAACAAAATGAAGATCTTGAACACTCATCTCAGGTGTCTTCCTTTTGATTCTCTTCCCCACCGCAGGTTGCCCAACGTGCCTTCCGTGCTGTCATCCGGAAGGCCCAGAGGGCACGGTGCGTCGTTCTGCTCAACGCATGGGTCGATCCAAGAGCCGAAACAAGTTGCCACCACATTGGCACAATAAAGCCCCCAATGGTCATGGAGTCAGGTCACTTATTCTAGGATGGTGCTGATGCTGATGGTTTTCTAGTAGCATCCTTGCTTGTAGTATGTATAGTAAGGCCAGGAGCCCCTAATAGCGTCCTTGCTCCTAGTAGCGATGCCAGGAGCCCCTAGCAGCGTCCTTGTTACAGTTGTGTGAAGAGTTGTTCAGGCTGTTGTTCTCTCTTTCTGTGCTGTTTGCTCTCTGGTCCGCTAAGAATCATTGGCGCTCTCTCGTTGCCAAATTGCTTTTTGACCCAACCAGCACGCCTCCGACAGTCTCTGACATCTATCTATGCATTGCCTTTGCCAGGGTGCTCGTGGCAATTAGACAAATGAAATACGAATGACATGACCTCCTCACTAACCACAAGACTCACCAGACTCCTTGTCCAACCCTCCTGACCGCAAGCGCGGAGAATCCAAGGGCCTGGAGAATCAGGAGGGCCTTCTTTCCATTCCAAACTCTTTTTACTAGCTATGTGCTCCTAGGTCCTAGTAGCAAGAATGCAACTAGCAGTAATGCCCTTTGTTACTAGTAGCGATGCCCTTGCTCCTAGTAGCGATGCCCTTTGTTACTAACTTCCCAGCTCCAGGCGGCTGACGATGGTGACCCGAAATTGGCAGAAGAGTGGGCCCAGAATCTTGCTACAAGTTTGCGAGAAACGATCCATCGAGAACCGAGATGCTACAAGCACGCGCTATCGCGCGATCCCATGCGTTCGCGTTTTTGATGTGTTGATTTTGCGAAAATCGCTAAGAGCATTTTGCCATCCAAGCGGGGTGAAGTGCCAGATCAAGTCAGCCAGGCAGGTGTCCTTTTTCGGCAAACCCGGTGATCCTGAAGTCTCAGATAGCTGAGCCTCGCAAAGGCCCCCCGTGATCACACTCTTCCGAGGCGTGCGAGGCAAAGTGGAATGGATGACGGTGCAGTCAGCGAAACTCAGAGCCCAGAGGAGCGACAAAAAAGGAGCAATGCAGGACATCTGAACAGGCAAAGTTGGGATGTTCATGTTTGTTGATCCCTCATGACAGCCTTTCAGACCACACCCAGTCTCGGATATGTTGATTCTGGATGGGGCCATGAAATAGATATAGGACCCCAGCACCATTCGGCGTACAATTTTATTACATACATTTCTTCTATTTTACAAGTACTGTCAGTGCTTGGAAGATTTGGATGTCTTGGTTCCAAAGACCTCATTTTAGAATGTGAGCCTGATGCTTGGAGAAGAGCTTTAAAATAAAATCAATCGTGATGCAATGGCTTTGAACCTCAGAACTGGTCTATTTTATTGCCATATATATTTTCAGTATTTTGGATGATCTTGGATGCGCCTGCAATCTACAGTATATGTAACACTGGCTGCCTTATCGCTTTATTCCAGGTGATAGCGTGCAACACTTAATCTTGAATATCTTCAATGACAATTGCTAGACACGTAAAAACAATTGAAGACACGGTCAGAGACACGGTTTTGTGCTTAGAGGTTGGAGCACTGCAGATGTTATTTTGTCGAATTGTTGCATGGCACCAAACCAGCCCCCCAAGAGCCACCCAACCCAGCCAGAAAGCTTTAGAATTAAACTTGCCTTACAAGAGGTATGTGTTGCATTCGTTGGGTGGGTTTGGGTTTGGATTGGTGGATTTTATTCTAGTGGAACCCTCCTTCCAATAAAGTGCTTGAGTGTTGGGGTGAGCCGCTCCAGGGTGGACAGGGGGCCGACGTCTAACATAAGCAATAAATCAATATGGTTTGCCTTGGAGTTGATCAGTTTATTCTCATTAAGTAGCCTCCGCTGAGGTATTCTGCTAGCTTAGTCAGATTATGTATTTGCAAGATTTTGCAAGGTTGGACCCTATATTTTTATTCTACAGTACCTTGGCTACCCTCCTGATTTGTTAATTTTTTGGCGTGCTGACGCCCCCCACGCCCCTTGGAGGTGGAAAACCACCTGTCGCAAAGATTGTAAAGGAACTTAAACTTCTCGGGCCATGCCACCCGTAAACGTCCGTAAAACTTAAAAACATTCCTTTCTGAATTTGAGTCTCATGAGTCTTCTAGGTCTTCGTCCGATGCCTGAGAAAGCAGATGAGCAATTACTCAGTAGTTGACAGTTGATCTACAAGACTCCAAATCTTGGATGGTCGTCTTAAGAAGGCCAGGGCTGTGCACGTATATTGCCCGCGAAACCCATCGCAGAGTGCGGAGTCCGCGGGCGTGACCCCGAAACCCTGATGGTCGTTGATTCGCAGCATGACAAAGCCCAGTGAGACGCAAGTCTTCGCCAGGTTCAGGGGCAACAGCAGACACTCATGGCGGCTATCCAGGGGGAGGCATGGGTGGCGAGACATGTGACTCAAGCCAGATAAACCAATGAGGCTGTCCATCATGGTCGGTTCAGCTGGATTTGATTGGACTCGGTTGAGAGCCAGCTTCACAGACATTTTTCTTCGGTGAGGTCTGCAATTACAAATCCATACTATCTCATGATGATCAATCTACCCTTCATGTCACTGGGATGCACCCGATGAAGAGCTTAGATAAAGCAGAATCAATTCATCTCACGATAAGCCACAAGGAGTGCCACAATGTGGTTTCACCCCTAAAGGTTTCCGAGTCATGGGTATGTAAACAGAGTGCGTGCCCCAGAGCGAGAGAAGTGCAGCGGCAGCACTTGCACTGGATGTTGGGTGGTGGTGGCGTTGCGTTTGGCGGTTTGCATGTGTGAGCCCTGGTGGACTGGAGCAAGAGATGTGGTGCAAAGTATTTGCCAGGCTCCTAGCCATGTTGAACTGACACCTGAATTTGGGATTCTGAATTTGAAGAATCGACATCCGTACCGCCATACCACTTGTCAAATTTGCATTTTGCTTGCTTTGCTTGTCCCTGGACCCGTGTGCCCGCGTGTGCTTCAGAACTTCTTGAGGCTTCACATCCATCTTGCCCTGCTAGTCTTAGCCGTTCACACCCATCATTCTGCTGAAGCCGCTAGATTGGGTTGTGGGTGCAGAACTGGGGTACCACCGCACTTGTCACCTATCATAGTAAGATATAGTACCCGTTTGTTTGGCATTGTTGGATGTGTTTGATGTTGCTTCAGGCGCCCCTCCCGACATGGCTCAAGCGCTGCCCTCAGCTTTCGGGCGCAGGCAATCAGACGTTTGCTTGGATCAATATTGACTTGCGTGAGGTTGCCACCTGCCCAGCGAAGACCCCCTATAGTGCATGAACTAGTGCATGACTTTAGTTGGGATTAGGCAAGCAAAGCCTATGTCAACCATTGTATGCACGCTAACCAACCAATCAAAAGCAATCCAGTTAACATGGGTGTTGATCAATAGCTCCCGCATGTGCACACAGACACACACACACACACACACATATATATATATACACATGCTATAATATAGTTTTAGCATGGTTATATTTTAACGATTGGCAACTTAGCTCCCAGGACGCCCCCCAGGAACTACAGGCTATAGGGCTATAGGGACCACAGATCTGTTCTTCAGTGGAGTGTGGAAGTGAGCAGACACAACGTCCTCGATTCTCAAATGAATAGTCTTGACTGGGGTTTGCCCAAGCACAGCAGAAGCCGTAAAAAGCTTTCACCACCAGCAGCAATTGGTTCAAGACCTTCACCCATCATCACGGAATCCATTGTTACAACGGGTTCGTCGTTCGCCTCAGGAAGCCACGCAGCTGGAGCCCTAGGTGAGTCGGGCATCGGCCGTGTCAGCACAAGATTAGGGTCTTCCATCCCATTGTACCATACCAAGCACGTGCCAAGTGCAGGCCCCAGAACTAACTGGAAGGGTCCAGTGGGCCTTCCAAACAGTTGATTCCTTTATTTGTTTGCCATAAACTTTGATTGATGCGCTGCCATCAGCCCGCCTCAAAAATCGAATCTATGAAACTTAGGATAAATTAGGACAAACTAGGTATATATATATATAATTACTGTGAGATGGGTCAGACAGGTCGGTGAACTCGAGGGTGGCGTGAGTCTCCGAAAAAAAGCGTGATTCCAAGGCTCATCCCGCAGGACTCGGAGTGGACGTGGCGCTGTGGGATCGTTTGGAGTGCAAGTCGTCAGCCTCACGTCTTCGACATTGCCAAGTCGGGACGACTCGTTGTTGAAGTCTTTTTCAGAACCCAGGTGGGTCTGAAACTCGTTGTTTTGAACTTCGCCAAAGCCCCCGAGACGATTGTTTGGTAGAGCTGTTATACCGTAGAATCTTCTGGGGCAGGGCTAAACAGCAGTGACTAGCTGAACTGAAATAGTCATGCTAAGTTTAAACCACCCGACCTGCCGTACTGAGGGGTCATTTTCCACTTCCATGATTAACTATTTCACGGAGTGTGCGACAAGACATCTTAATTGGATTTGAGAAGTGTTTGCTGCTTCGATGAGATGCAATTCAGCAGAACTCCCATTGCCCATGCCCCTGGCCTCAGGACGAAGCAGCAGAGGGAGCCTCGAAGGAGGAGCGATTCATTCAGCAGAACTCCCAATTTTCTCCCACACAGCCATCCAACCAATGCCAGGAGACTGAGAACGACAAGATCCCCTGGCAGGCCTGATAGAAAATCCATGAAATCAATTTTATCCTAGAGCATTCGAAGGTTCTCGCAGATCCAACAGCCCCATGCACCGCAGGTAGGTGCGGAGAACCCCATCCCTGAGGAGATGGCCAAATCCCTACGCACCTTGGTTGGTAGCTCGTGAACCGCTTCCTGTGCTCCAATGCCTAAATCAAGCCAAAGCGTGATGGTGTGTAAGGGGTCTAGCCACTTAGCCGAAGATACTCATTGTCATTGATTCATAGCTTCCGCTTTCATCCAGGCAGACTTTTGGCAGATCAATTTCCCTGCTACTCTTACTCCTACTTCTACTACTACTACTGCTCTTACTCCTACTGCAACTACTACTACTACTATTACTACTACTACTACTGCTACTACCCCTACTACTACTACTACTACTTCTACTACTACTACTACTACTACTACTTCTTCTTCTACTACTACTACTTTTTCTACTACTTTTTCTACTACTTTTTCTAGCAAACGTTCGCCCAGTTGTTCATGTCGAGCACACCTGACCCCGCCATGTGATAGGTTTCAATGGACATTGACATTGACATTGCAGCAATCCTTGGAACACGGTATGTGCTGCGTATACAGGTCTATGCAGACTGTCTACTGTCAAAAGATCTACACAGTCAATGAGTTTCATGAATCCTGGTGATAACTTGAGCCAACCCCATTGAAGTTGGACAGGTGGGAGGCCTCCAAAAACACTACTCAATTGAACCCATGATCGACCCATCGATTTCCAGGCCCGAACCGCTTGCCAAGCAGTTCGCCCTTGCACACGAATGGTCAGTTCCTGAGGTGTGATGGAGCGCATCGTTTCGCAAAACGTCTTCCACCGGCAGCATATGATCTACCGGAACTATCCCACTCTGGAGGACCTGGATTCAGCGTTGAATGTAGCCTTCACCAGGATGGACCCTCCACCTCCACCATCTTAGGAAGGGACTGAGAAGAGATACCATGGTGGGCAGCCCCCTTTTGCTGCCTGGTGTGGGCTTTGAGTAACCCTTACCGGTGGAACAGCCGATATATATATATATATATGATATTATATGCAATTGTTTAAAACACTATATATATATATATAAAACATTATCATGATATGTATATATATAATATATATATTGAGATCTCCCAAGTTTTTGTCTTCCCAGAGTGAAATTGTCATTTCTGAGTTTCAGAGAGACATGTGGCCAAACTCTTGGGACCGGGCAGCTCAACACGAATCGTCGCCACGCGCGGTTGGAGGTCTTCGTTTCGCGCTCGAAGAGATGGGTGTTTGCCTCGTTTCAGATGGGCCTCCGGATGCCTCCCCGGCAGGAGTTGGCCAGACTGGACGAGATCCGGATGGAAGAAGCCCTGGGCGGCGACTTGCTCCCAGAAGGGCTTAACATCGGTAGTGTCGTGTTCACATGACAGTACTGAAACAGGGAGGCGTACCAGGGTGTTCCACTGCTTTGTTCAGAATATCTCCAGACCAGGCATGCGGTGGAATGTGAAAACCAGATAAAAGCGAAGACCTTTCGTGGTTCGCGTTGTCGTTTCGTGGGCGGGACGCACCAGTCGGGTCTGAAAGGTCGTGGATCTTCAATTAGCCAAGACGATCTCTGAATCAGCAAGGGAGGATCCCAAGGGATGGATGTTGAGTCTCCCTCTTTTTCTGGAGCAAAGTCGGAATCTGTGAAGCTGCAACTGTCCAAGTGTTGGCACAAAAGGTTTAATCTCAAGTCGGTTGGACGGTTTTTTTGCCATCCTGATTCGTTGGTTGGAGCTGTTGAGTCAACAGGGTTGCACTGCACCAAGCCCTTCGACTCAGCCGAGGCACCACAGGCATGGTTCATTTCGAGCTGCTTGGGGTTGTGGTTGAAAGGGTGGACCGTGGGGGAAATGGATGAAACACCATGAAGCCAAAGTGAAATCTTTCAAGCACGTACAGATAGAAACAAAAAGAGTAGTTACTGAGCACTATACGATTCCAGAGTGCTAATGACCTGGGAGCGTGCTTTCTCAACTGAGATGGGAAGTTGACTGGAAGCATTTGAAAGCCTGCACCGGTACTTTTGGAGTTACTTTTGGTCAGGCACCTCCGGCTTTGATGCGGCCATGGAAGCAGTTGCCGAGGAGCGATTTCAGAACAAACTCTTATGCTTCTTCAGCGTGGCCGTTTTCGAGAGGCATAGCGTGAGAGGTATGACAGTTGTGAATGAGCTGGAGACAATACATGAGCATATATGAGCATACTGTCGCTAGAGAATTAGGACTTAGAAGACGACAGCGCAAATCTCGTTTGCCTGTTCGATGCTTCCTGCCATGTCGTAACTTACAACTCATCGAATCCTTGGGTGGTACTAGTATAACACAAAAACTAGAAGAACGAGTAGAAGAACACGGCGGTGCATATGTCAACTGTCAACCATGCCCGTCCCAAACGCAAAACATTGTGCCCAAAGCCCAGTCTTTCAGGACATGCCACCTGTCCAAATGTCATTCAGAGACCCGGTATTTCTATGTATTTCTAAGAGCTTTCAATGTCCAGGCTTTGTGAACCTGAATTTGCTGTAGGAAAGAGTTTGGCCCCTTTTGCGTTCAATCGACTGTTTGGCTTATGTCCATTGATGGGCGGAAACATCGCCACTACCTTTGATTGGCAGGATGCGGCGGCAGCCGCTGCAGACCCTGTTCGGAACACCTACGGTTTGAGTTCGCTCTTGGGGATGGGGTGGTTTGAAGATGGGGCGCCACAGATTGATGGGTGCACCAGATCTGGTGCTTCCGTGCCTTTGCCGAGATCCTGGAATCTTCTGCCATCCCTCTTCTCAGGTGAATGCTGGAGTTGTGGAGGCAAGGGGAACCACACTCCTTTTGAGAAGAATGGCCAATGGCTATAATAAGTGTAAGTGCTGTCAGGTGCTTTCGGATGTGAGGCATCCTTAGTACATATAGCATGCCAGGGTCACACACACACACAGGCGCAAGATGTGCAAGAGCAGGAGATGAGGGCATTCAAAGTGCTTGCAGTACTCAAGATAATGCTGAGTGTTGGAGCAGTCTGGCCGGTACTTCAGTGGCTGGAACCATCCGAAAGCGTATAAAGATGAAAGCACATTCCGACTCTTCTCCAAAATTGGAGGGCACCGAGTTCCATGTATAGACGCTCCACTTAACACGACATGTGGTCCTCGGAACTAAACGTCAGTGCATAGAGAATGTCGATGGAACTGTTTTGAAGAGTGACCGCTCCCGCCGACCATCTACTGTAGGAGAAGCGCATAAGGGCACGACTCTAGTGGCAACTAGTCACTGGATTCACCACATCCCTGCAGCTGGTTTTGGAGCCTGTCAGGCAGAAATGGATATGGGGGAAGACGGTGCGGAGCGCAGAACATGCTCGACCTCTGAACAATTTGAGGTATTTGATGCATCTCACACTGGAGACCGTTCAACTGCCAGAGTGCGAACCAAGTCAACCAAATCAAATGTAGATTATCAAGTTTAATAAACCTGAATATTGCTGTCGTCATGAATCGCCAAGGGCCACAAGACGCGAGCATTGCTATCCTTTCGAGGCGATGACCTCATTGAAGAGGTGCCTGAGGAGCAAGATGTCGACAAGCCGGCGCTGCAGGTGCGGCAGGTTGCTTGTCGCAGCGGGACCCAGCGGCAAGTCAAAAAGAAAACTCATAGTGATTCAAGATGAATTCCAAGATGCAACAAGACACACCAGGCATTGACCATTGATTTCGGAAGGACTACGCATTGTGTGTATGCTGGGGGGGCTAAATTGTTCGAGGAACATTTCATCACGTGTTCACATACTGTAGTTTTTAGGTGAATTTTTATTGTAGCTACTCTTTGTTTGATGTATTGTTAGCGCGTTCCGCAAGCGACCACATGTGCGGCAAAGACAAAAGCAAATGCCAATCCCAACAGAAACAGACATGAAAGTTCACCCTTCCACGAAGCATTCGCCAGAAGCCTTCCGAATCCCCAGGATCTCTTCTGCTTCGATGCTCCACAGTTGACTCAAGGAATGACTGTGACCTGCGCTGAGTGGAACAGCAACAACAAGGCGCAGCCAGTGGTCAATTGAACGAGTGCGGTTTGTGCCCGGACAGGCCTAGAACCTCTTCTTGGGCAGACATTCTGCCTATTATGTATGGGTAAAGACATCTTTGTTCATGCTTAGGCGTTCTTGCCCCCTGTAGGCGTTCTTGTTCCCTCTGGGCGTTCTTGTCCTTGTGGTGGCAATGCTCAATTAATCTCAATTATATATATATAGATAAGGATCCACCCACCACTGGTTCCAGGAACTTCCATGGTGATGCAGTACATTTGCTTATAATTCACTTGATGTTTCACTTCTGCATGATTTTAGTGGTTCTATGCATTGTTTTATTGTTTTAGGACAGCCCCGGCATTTGAAAATCGATCAAGAGTGCAGAATTAATTTTATTGAATTAATTTCACAAAGTTAACATTTGCTGCTGAGAGGGTGCATTTCAGAAGGTCAAAATCTAGTTGACATCAGAAGTTGTAAGTTTGTGATATTCAATGAAGCATCTAAACAAAACAGAGTGTGTGTGTGTGTGTCACCCTTGGAGTCATAGGGATGCTTTTGCATTT